ATGGCAGAAGGTCATGCACCCACTTGCGGACCTTCCTTCGCTGTCAGTCATTGTGGCAACCGTGTCGCAGCCCAAGCCAATAAACCTGTTGAGGGTGGGGGATACGATGAGACTAATGAGAGACCATCTGTTGAGTCTGAAACTCCCACCAATATTTGTCTCCACACTACCGTCCTTGTCGTAGCATTTTAAGGTAGCGGAAATGGGTGCGGTAATGGTGCCGTCTTCCAATGATATGTTGTAAATTGAAATGTCGCGATACGAACGTTCTCTGCTCGAAGAAAAATGCAAGTGGCTGCTGCTGTGGTTGCATTCAAGCAGGAAGGATAAGTTTTTGGCGCATTCAGGACGGTCAAATCCAAAAGGGTAAGGAACGCTAACGTTTCCACATGTTTGTGGGCAGTTTTCTAAAGAAATATAATTTGAACTTGCTGCAACGGTAGAAGATGGCAATATGACCATCACCACCACTATCCATAACAACAATTTCTTCTGCATAATTGTTTGCCCTGAATCTTGTGTTTTGGTGTTTTAATAAGCAGAGACAGAGTTGTATTATATATAGGCGGTAAGTTGAGTCAGGGCTGAAGACTCGTTATTGACTGGCTAGTGGCGGCAAGCTCTTACTGGTTTATTGATTTGCTTTATACTTGTGGTCTTGGTCATCTTTCAGAGAAAGTGGAATATATCTTTGGCACATGGCGGTCCTTGAAGATGCCAAATCAGCTCCTGGTTTCCGTGACTCGTACCACACCATATGTCATAGATTTATATTAAAAAATAAAAAAATTAGCATTTAATTTATTAAATGATTAATTAAATTTATATATAGAATATTAATATTAAAATTAATATTAATTTTTATATTTTTTAAGTATATTTATAATAAAAAAAACTCTTAACATGTATTTTCAAAATAAAAATTAAAAAAACTATATCATTAATTAAGCAGTAACTAGCTCACTACCTCTTATAAACGTTACCTAATAAGGCCGACACATGCAATTTAAGAAAAAAAATCAAAAAAAAAGAAAAAAAAAAGGTGAAACAATCCAACTCTAACCTATACAATATACTTTCAACTTGAGCCAGAACCAGCATAGTGTTGAAGTTAATGTTGAGACATATGGATAGGGAGGAAAGCAAGAGGAGAAGGAAAGGGTCAAAGATTCATGGTGATGGCATTGAGTCAGAGAAAAACAATTGTTGAAGCTTAAATTAAATGAAGATGAAGGGAATACATATACAAATAATTATTGTTTTCTTGTGAGAAAGCTAAAACATAAAAAAAAAGAAAAAAAGGAAAAAAAAGAGAGAGAGAATCCAAGAAAGCAAAGCAATGCAAAGCAAAGACAAGAAAAGCAGGACGATAAATGATTGAGAAAAAGCATAAGTAAAGTTGCACTATTGTTTGTTGTGTAAAGTGAGGATGAACGATGTTCATCTTAGCACTCTAAAGAGTCATTCTGCAATGCAACCTAACCAAGAATTAAGCAACTTGCTACAATTAAAGAGGAAAGAAATAATTAAAAGGCAGCAGACCTTGATTTTAAATCTTATAATAATAATAATAATTAATATTTACTTTAAAATAAAGAATGGAAGACCACACCTCACTTGACTTTTTA